GAAAACAAAATGCTGTCAAACGATTAATCGCATTCAAAATAAAAGTTTTTGTTTACATAATATACAGTATGTGTGTGTGCTGTGTATAGTTATGTTAAAATATGTTATGTTTATATATTAAATATATTTATAAATAATATAAATGTACATATATGCATGTAAATACATGAAAATATTTTGAAAATATATACATGCATGTGTGTATTTATAAATGCATAATAAATATACACAGTACACACACATATATTATGCAAACAAAAACTTTTATTTTGAACGCGATTAATCGTTTGACAGCACTAATGAAATTAAAATGTAATTCAAATATTAACAACAACTATAATAGTATCTGAATGATGATGAAGAGACTTCAGCAGTAGTCTCCATCAAGTCTCATGGCTGTCTATGAGAAAGAACCGAGACGTTAGAGATCTCAGGAGATCTAGTAAGTTTCTGATCTCGTGTTAAACTCAATGCTGCTGCAGTTCAAAGTGAATCAGTTCGTTTGAAGTGATTCGGCTGAACTGATGCGAACAGTGTGTTTGTGGCTTTCCAGAGAAGCGTGTTGCGTTTGAGACACAATCACTGACATGTGTGTCCAACTCCCTGCATCATGCTGTCAGTTACCACACAATACTACAACTCATCCCTCAGTCAGAAAACACCAGCAAAAATCACACACTGATGCATTACGATAGAAGGCTATGGGGCAAGTGCAGCGAAAGCCAGAATGTGTGTTTATGTTTTTATTAAAGCACTAGCTCAGCTCACAGCAAGAGGTAAGGTGCTCTGAACATTTAAAAGGTCCAGTTTTTTTACAAATATTTTTTTTTCTGGGATATAATGTTTAGCACACATTATGGAAACAGTAAGATTTTTAATGTTTTTTAAAGAAGTCTCTTCTGCTCACCAAGCCTGCATTTACTTGATCAGAAATACAGCAAAAGCAGTAATATTGTGAAATATTTTTACTATTTAAAATAACTGTTTTCTATGTGAATCTCTGTTAAACTGTAATTTATTTCTGTGATGCGCAGCTGTATTTTCAGCATCATTACTCCAGTCTTCAGTGTCA